TAGCAGTCTCCTGCTTCTATAGTTCAAGCCCACACACGGGCTTCTACTTGGCAGCGTTAGCCCCTCTCCCCATTTCTGAATAGGAAGAGAACTTCCTCTCCACCCTTACCCATCTACCCAAGCACTCCTTTTATTCACTTCTCTAAAAGTCCCACAAAGCAGTTGTGTAGGTCTTGGTAAGGGGTCAGGCAGAGGAACTTCCTAAAGCCATGCATGCTTCTCATTCCCAGTGTAAAATGAAGTCCCACCCTGGACAAAGAGTTTTGTTCTACGTTTTTGTCCATTTTCACTGGAGCCCTGTGTCCTCCCAGTTGGGTCTCCTTTACTCCCAACGATAAAACGTTATTTGTTCAACAAGAATTAATTAACTATTCATGGAGCACTGTGCTAGCAGTTTCCGGGGCATCTGGAATGGAGATGTGTTCAAGAACGTAGGTCGTGGTCATCTTTTAAGGGTGACAGGGAAGTCTGTCCTCAGGCCTTCAGTTGATTTGTATGGGCTTCATGACAAGGCTCAGACTCCTGGGATGGACGAGTGAGGTCTTGCATGATCAGGGCAGTGGGAGATGCCAGCCTGGGAAGACCAGGCATTTGCCATCACTGAAAGGCAGAGGCTTGGATCTGGATACAAATTCTGGCTCTGTGCACTACGGCTAAGTCTTAATGAACTCTTGCAACCTCTTGGGCAATTTAATCTCAGCATGTCTGGATAATTCAATATTTGAGCAAGTAAATGATACCAATGAAGCTAGTGACCCAAGAGCATCTGGGTATTTTGTTAATTAAGTCTGGATGTAGTGGGGGTAGGAAAGAGCCAAAATAGCTACAGTATAAGGCAAAATCCATTGTATGAGCAAAAGAACTACCAGGTGTTGTGGGAATTCAGAGAAAGAATTTTGCTGGCCTTGAAAGACAGTTATTTAAGACACAAGGCCAAGAATGGAAGCAGAAGAGTGTGAGGCATACTCACAGGCCCACAATTGTGGAAAGGGAAATCCAGAAGGAAGGTTGGAACAAGAACACAGAGTCTTTGATGACCAGCTAAATTGCAGAATTTTAGTAAGAGCCTAGAAGACACTACATCAAAATAGAGCTTCCTAGCATTCTAGTGCAATGTTGTTTGCATTTAGGAAAAAGATCATGATAAAATCAAATGTTTGATTATATAATTCTACTGAGCTATCCAGTAAGGGAGTACTGTGCTTCCTCTTTCCAATTTAATAAGCCTAAATTGCCATGACCAGAGTTACCATTTTTGAGCACTATTTACACATTAGGCACGTAAACAAAGTGACCTCGACAGTTCCATACAAGTACATCATGGTAGATGTTATGTATTATGGAACTGCGATTTCAAGAGCTAATCTGTCCAACATTACACAGCAGCCATGGTACAGACATGACTGGAACAGGATCTGAACCCAGCTTGGACATCAAGAGCCTGATACTACTTTGCAATGAAAAGCTGGGCTAGTGAGGGAACTAAACTCGTGGGTTCTTTGCTTCTGACTCAAGGTTTCACATACAGGAAAAAGGCTGAATGACCGTGTAAACATCTAGAAAGAACTTCATTTTGTGATTATCACCCATTCTTGTCTGCAATAAAATAATGACAATCACGGGTCTGTTTTTTTGTTGATTATTGATGTTCCTGGCCACACAATTTCCTCCCAAGTTGAAAAGCGTTGCCCTTCATTACAGTCACCTTTTATCCCTGACTTATCCTCAGGAGACAGTTTATCATCTGTAGATGTCACAATCATAAAGGAAGTCAAGACTGATGGTGTTGAGGTGCCTAACCCATTCTTACAGGATTACATGGTTCAGAGTGGTCTTTTTAAACTGGGAGAACTCTTACAGGTTCCAATGGTACTCAACAGTACCATCTGGTCCCACAGAATGGTCCAGTCATATGACTATGTCAAATCAAGGAACCACCCTCCAAGTGAGTGACTGTTATGATTTGGATATGAGGTGTCCCTCCAAAAGCTCATGGGTTAGCTAACACAGGGTTGTTCAGAGAATTAGGAAAGCTGTAACCTCGTCGATAAATTAATCATTTAAAAAGACTACTTGGGGTGGACTTTAGGTAGGGGGGCATAGCTGGAATCGGTCGCTTTGGAGACATGCCCTTGGGGATTCTATCAGATCTCTCTGGTTCCTTCCCCTCTCTCTCCCTCTGCTTTCCATTTGTCTGGAGCTGAACAATTTTCCTCTGCCATGATGTTCTGCCTATCCTTGGGCCCAGAGCAATGGAGTGGCCCACTATGGACCGAACCTCTAAAACTGAGTTCCAAATAAATCTTTCCTCCTCTACATTGTTCTTGTCATGTATTTTGGTCACAGTGATGAAAAGCTGACCAACACAGGGATATAACTTAACTCTGTTCCAGAAGCCAATAAGGACTGAGGATAGAACACAAATGTCTCATGATGTAATAACTTGTCTTCAAAACCTAAGGCAAAGAGAATAGGATCGGCTTCCTTGGGATTCCCCATGTCACCCTGTGTGTTACTTGACTGTTCAAGTTAATTCTTAGACAATCTCTTTTTGGAGGAAACTTTCCAGGGACATTAGGTTGGATGTGAAATTGCTGTTATTTGACTGCTATTTACTGACAAACATGGTCATTTCCCGTGAATCAAATTAGTCATCATGGCTATGTGCAAAATTCAAGATGTTTTCTACATTTGCTTCTCAATTGAAATACAGGCCCCAGGCTGTAGGAATAAAAATGAGAAAAGGTAGTGCCTACCAAAAATCTTTAATAAATACCAATTCAATTTTCAAGTATATAAGTCCTAGTGTGATCTGACCGCCCTGCATGTGTTTTATGCAAAATGGGTGTGAAATTTTCTGTCAGGGTGAAAACACTTTAAGAAATTTCAAAATATCATTTGATTTATATATTTACATTTTTATTAGAATTTTTCAGAATTGTCAACAATTGGACAACGTATCAGGAAATAAAACACATGAAACACCAACATCCATTAAACTTGCACCGTGTATATATTTACACATAAAGTTACTGTATATATAAAAAATATTTTCAAGGACTCACGGGCTTGGGAATATTCAAGACATTATTGCTACATTTCAATATTTACAAAAAAAGCCACAAAATAATTTCAAACATTAAGCAACTGCAAAGAAACATCTGATGTAAAAAAAATTATAAAAATATAAACTTTCAAGAATATTCAAGACAAAACTCTTAATGAAGTGCCCTGAAGTACCTAGACATCTACAATTAACAACTACTTTTCTTACCATGATCAAAGTCAATGGGAACACAAAGGAAATTTTTGGACAAAGTATGGCAAATGGCGACAATCTCTTACATGACAACACAACCCCAAAACCTGTTGACTTTGGAAAGGTGCGAGAGCATAGAACTCCAGTGCAAATGGTCACTTCCAGATGGATGGCCACACTTCTCTCTGAATGTACTCTAAGGGATGGATGAGGGGAATTGTGAAGGAGGAGACCTGACCCTTGCAAGACAACACACCAATCTTGCTATGTATGCATTTACTTCTTCTATTGGGCGGCGATGAGAAGCAGGGGTCAGGTAAACTACAAGAATAATATCCAGGTTACAGCCTAAAGGGTAGAATTTAAATACGTTTCAGCGGAACAGTAGCATTACATAACATCTAAGCAATGGGTACAGTATGTTGAGTATAAATAACAGAGTGCCTTAAGTGCGGGTGGACGGCAGATAAATAGGTCCTTAGGCACTCTGCTTCTGATAGCCTCTATGCCAGCTACTCTAGACAGCAGAGAAATAGGACTGATGAAGGAAGCCGAGTTACTCCTCGGGTACTGAAGGACCCTCTTGGACTCAAGTTAAAAATGCTCCCTTGTCTACACGCATTCACACAAGCACATGCATACGCAGGTTATACAGATACTGGCCCGACATCCAGGATGTGTCTGTAAAGGAGGCTGAATCTTTCACTTCCAGCTTTATATCAGAATCTTTAACATCAGATTCCACACTAAGATAGCATTGCTTTCTCCTTCCTGCGGGAATCGTGCTATGGTAAATCAGTCACTTTTTCAAACAGCATCAAATCCATTGGGTACAATGCCATTCTGCAGCTAGGAGGCTTGTTCTGGAGAATCTGTAGAGCAAGTTCATTGGCTAAAAAGAGGAGATTTTGTTAAGACTGTGCTTGGCAGTTACATGTTTTTTTTTTTCCTTAACAAACAATCAAGTCAGTATTAACTGTTTCCTTTGAGCTTGTTTGGCTCTTCATCTATTCCTATACACAATGGACACAACACCAGGGTTGTACACAGAAACCAAACCTCGTGGGTTCCCCCCTCCAACGTGTAAATGCGTACAACCTATTGATGAGTATATACAATCGCTGGCTAGGGAGGCCTTGTCTCCAATTCAACTCCCTAATAGCAAACTCTATTTCAAAAATCAGGTCAGTTATACAAAAGCTCATGCAGTGGTCCACAGCAGAGTGTCTTTATTCCTGTTTGGGGGGCATTTTTCCATGGCCTAGGTCTCATTCTCAGCATGAAATACTAGATTTCTCAAGCCCAGATGTTCCTGCTCGTGTCCTTTGTTCTAATGATGTTCTATTTTCTACATAAAGGATTTAGGCTGCAGTTTCTGATCCTGCATCTTCTTATTGTTATGGATGGTTCCATAGGCCAACTGTGACTATTTCTATGTATTTAATAAACTAGACATTCTTGATGTCTCTGGCTAGACCAAAATCACAACCGTATTTTTGACCAGAATTAGAGAAGCATTGGGAAGAACTTTGGGCATCTAGCCCATCTCCCCCTACCTTTCTTTAAATCAGAATTTCCTTCTGTTTATAGTAGGAGCTACTTGGGAATATATACAGTTCGAACCTTTGTAATGGGATGGTGGCTGATGACCAAAAAAAAAAAAAAAAATCATCATCAGCCACTAAAGTGTGCTCATAAAGACAGGATTACAGTAGGGGGCCCACTACCCTGGAGTAGGATGGGGATTTCTCCTGCAGGGCAGACCCTGTCCGTATGCTGGCTCTGCTCAGACATCTTCGTGCACAAGCAGGGGCTGGGTAGAAGAAGCACTGCTGCCGACGGAATTGACCCTCACGGAATGGTCCACCACGGGATTCTCTGGGTTGGGGTTGAAGTTTGCTAAATTGGAGTAAATCTGAGGAAAATAAGCCCACAGTCAATACAGCAGTCCCTGCAAGCAACACAGCAACCAAGGGGCACCTATCACTTGAGCACCACCAGTAACAGACCACGACTTTTGAAGAGAGGTGGTTTCCAAGAACTTGGTGGCTAATACCCAAATCATATTAACAAAACAAATACAGGCTTTGATTCCTCTCCTCTTTCCCAAAGAAATAATTTTACATAAGAAGTATAATAGGGCTGGGGATGTGGCTCAAGCGGTAGCTGGGTTTGATCCTCAGCACCACATAAAAATAAAATAAAGATGTCGTGTTCACCGAAAACTAAAAAATAAATATTAAAAAAATTTCTCTCTCTCAAAAAAAATAAGTATAATAATTTTATTATACAAGAAGCAGTGGAAGGACGTAAGCAAGTCTAGCTCTCCTGATGGGAAACATCTGGGAACAGGCACTCTCTAACCTATTAAAAAGGTTTACAAATCCCCGTAGCCAACTGCGACCCAACTGCAGATGTAATTTGCTGAGAAGCTCATAGCTCTACCAGGGATCTTCTGTCAGGAATCAAAGCACTTGGGTGGAAAATGCTGTTTAATTTGAAATATGCTTTGACACCCTGCAGAGCAAGCTTTAACCCAGAAGTATCAGTGGCATGCTATTAGAAAAGATAGCCCCAAGCATGGAGTTCAGGGGGCAAAAAAAGGCAGCTTCAAAAAATCTGAGTCAAATAAGAATCACTAATTCTCCTTAAAAGCAGGAGAGGAAATAATGGATTTGAGTTTTCACCATTGTCCCGTCCCCCCCCCTCCCCTCCCCCCGGCCAAAGTCACGGGGATGGAGTTCCCAACTTCAAACAACTCTTCCTTCCTTCAATACAGCTTGTGGCATGACAGTCCTCTGCCACTGCGGGCTATGTCCACTTGCACAGAAGGCTAATAACTTCACCGCAGTCACAAGCTGCCGCTTCAGTGCCTTTATTCTAGTTGACATCACCCCAACCCTCCCAGGGATGAACGGCCCTGACATGAGACGGAAACCATACTGACCCCCTGACTGACAACTGGGTGGAGGAGGGAACAAGGGAAATCCTTAAGCGGACTCCTGTTTCCACACTTCAGAGTACCCAGCCCTCCACCCCCAGCCCTCCTTGTCTCTCATCCTTCTCTGGGCTCAGATCAGGGGAAGTGGGCAGAAAGAACTGGTTTCCATTGCTTTCCTCCCACTACATGAAGCCCGGATTACAACCCAAGTCAAGGAGAGGTTTTGGGGAGCCCCACCCCTGAACCTGAGGATGACACAGCTGGAACTGGGAGAACAGGGACTCTACTCCTGGCCAGTGGACTCACATGATTGGTGCTCTCTGAAATCTGCTTCTCAATAAGCTGAACAATCTGCTTGAACGTTGGCCTTTTCAGGGGATCAGCATCCCAACAAGTCTTCATAATGTCATACCTGCAAAACAGGGACGTTAACTATCACTCCTGTCTTCCCAGGGAATGCCATGCAACCACTTCCGTGAGAACCCCAGGGCTATCCCCCTGGACACAAGATGACATATGCAAACACTGTCTATGTGAGACATTGTCAAAAAGTTTCCATAGTTTTGGAGACAAGAGATTATGAAAAGAAACTACAGCAATGACATTTGATCAGGGTGGTCACAAAAGGAACCAAGTGACATTTCAAACAGTGTAAACCCTTGACACCTGAGTTTCTGTTCATAAAAAGAAGATGAAAGGGGGGAAAATATCATCTAAAAGAAAAACTTGTTGACCCTTACATTTCAGCAGGGGCATGCTCAGGGCTGAGCATCCGAAAACCTTCCTTGATCATCTTGTAGAACTTGGAATCGACAGGCATTCCAGGGTAGGGGCTGCTTCCTGAAGCACAAACAGTTGGCAGACCACAATCATCAACGACAAGTGCATGAAATCTCAAGAACTTCTGAATCTAACAATGGTGTCATTATCAAGGATGCTATTACCTAAAGAGAAGAGCTCCCACAGAAAAATCCCATAGGACCAGACATCGCTTTCAAATGTGTACACACAGTTGAAGATGCTTTCTGGGGCCATCCACTTCACAGGAAGCCGGGCCTAGGAGGGAAGCACAGCAGATTCAACCACGTTAATGAAGAAGCTCAAGAAAGCAGAACAGGAAATATTCCTGCAAAAATCTCTCCCACGGAAAGATGGGAATGAGAACCTGAGTACCACCGCACAAGACCTTTGGCCTACATGACCTCAGATGATGCCCACAACCTGTGGAATGGGTGGCTCATTTAGGATGGGGACCTGGAGTCAGTACAGCACAGTGAGTGAGAATACAGAAGTCAGACAAACAAGCATGGGTTCTAATCCTGGCTCTATCACTGACGTTCAGTGAGGCAGGGACCGCCCCGTTGCCAGTGAATGCTTCCCTGGTAATAACAGAAACATGGCTCCCCACAAGTAGGACTACATTTCCCAGACTGCTTTGCAACTACTTGTAGCTCTGAGGCTTCCTTTTTGGGATTAAGTGAGGAAGTGTTGTGTGGTGGCTTTAGAAAAGCCTCCTTAAAATACAGTGGGCCTCTTCCCTCTTTCTGGGAGTGCTGTTTCCTCCACCTTGCCTTTTGGTTGTAATAGCTGGCTTTCTATCTGGTGGTTACCCTGGACCATGAAGACAAGGGCTACACCCAAGAAGGGCCAAACTTGGAAAGATAGAAGGAATTGGTTCCAAGCACCCTCGCCTGCAACCCTTAGCCTTCTTTTGTTTTCTGTCATATACAACCCAAACTGTCTCTCACTAATACATTGGAAAAATCATTTAAATATTGATAATTAAGCCTTAGAATCTTCTTCTATAAAACAAAAAGTAACACTTCTCTTTTTTTCCATGATTTGTTTCAGGGCATATAGATGTGGGTAAAAATGCTTAGCCTTTTCTAATACTTAAAAAAAAATAAAATAAAAACAATCACCTAGCAAAGTGAGTACTCAATAATGGCTTGTGATGATTATGGCTGTTCTGAGTTGGGGAGAGGCGGGTTCAGGGCTGAAGTCCAACAGCTGGACTTCACATCTGAATCCTCCCACTAAGGTCTAACAAAACTTTCTGTGACTGTTCCTCTTAGAGACTGGATTTCCGGATATTAATCTACCATAAAAAGCTAAATCAATCCTTCTCTTAATCCGTTTAGGATTGAAAACTGGGAAGACACTTATTTCCAGTCTTAAAGTTATTTTAGTTGGCTAAAAAATAAAAAAAAATAAAAGCCTTCCGATATCCTTCCCCAGATTTTGTGCTAAAGCTGCAGAATGGGGCTCTTAACCTGAGATTGATAGGTATCTTGAACTATAGGCCTGTGTACTTGGAAGGTAAAAAGAAAAAAGAAAAGAAAAGAAAAGAAAAGAAATACATCCTATTTTCATTAACTTCTAAGTGAAGCCTAGCATTTTCTTAAAAAAATTACAAATGAAGGTAGTAAACCACAGTAGCATTTGTAGTACCGTGATTTGTCCAACAAGAGTAATTACAGATACCCTCATATCCTATTAGAATTTACAAGTATTTCAAAACAATATTTACATTCATCACCACTTTGAAATTACAATAGTTTTGTAGTAGAATATGTAGCTCTATGTATAACAGAGAAACGTATGCATTGACATATCACAAATTTACTTTTTAAAATTTGATAACTGAAATCAGTGTAATGGCTTTCCTTGGTAATCTTCTGTATTTTATTTTATGCATTTAAAACAGTATTCTAACAAGGGAGCTATACATTTCACTAGGCTCTGAAAGGGCCCATGGCATAAAAATGACTAAGAACTTCCATGTAATGGGAGAATTTTCAGAGAACCTGACATAGCAAGGAAACCTCAAACAATGACGACTTAAATTCGGGGGCAGTAATATGTTATGTTTCCTTGTTTTTAACTTACTTCATAAATTCTTCTTACTGAGTAGCCTGAGAGCAATGTTAGTGATTGGTGAGTTCAATTGACTTGGGCTGAAGTGCACAGTCTAGAGGTCTGGTGGGGCCTCACCCACCCTGTCAATCACAGTCAACAGTGAATAAGAAGCTATGGCATAAGTACTATCACAAAGACTTAGACTTAGTATTAGACCAGGAGGAAGAGAAGTTGATTTTATTAGCTTTCCTAGTGATGATAGATGGTCTCCGGGGAGCTTTTTCAGAATGATGTGCTTGGGTATGGGGATTAAACCCAGCCACACTTTTATAAAAACCAGGTCGAGCACAGCCTACCAACAGAGATGCTACGGTAATGGAGGAGAAAATGTTACATTATGGTAAGGGACACAAAAATTTACCTCCAGGAATAAATCTGGACTTTGGAAACGGGCCTGGGAAAATAAGCATAGAAGAATATATATAAAGGAGGGTACGTTTTCCATACCAATGGGAGACTGCTCTGAAAAATCAGGATTTCTGGTTTCAGCCTCTACTGACCAGTGTCATCTCAGGTTAAAAAAAAAAAAAAAAAACACTACTGTATACCATGCCTTAGTTTCTGTAACTATTAAAAATAGAAAGATACCACATTCTAAAAGCATGGTTTGTCCTGAGGATATAATAAAAACCGGCAATGAAATAAAGCACTTTGAAAAAATTTACCATGTTCTACAAACCAATTATTATTTATGAACCTACTTAATAGCCCTCTATTGATTATAAGATCCAACATTCTATACAGCTAATACTGAACAGGATTTCAGATTGCAATCACTTTCATATAGCATGTCAATCTCTTAAAAAAAAAATCTGTTGCTGTGACCTTCAAGTCTACATTTGCTACACTTGAGCAAAATCAAGTTCATTGCTATTCTCAGACTATAATGAAAATTAAGGCTATTTCTGTTTCTTTCACATGCCCCATAATTACACAATTAGAATTAGGAATTGTATTATCAAATGTTAGTAGTGAAATGTTCAACATTCCATGCAAATTTTGCTGAAGTACACTTAATTTGACTGCTAAAATGCATGATATTTCAAGGTAGAATTTGCATTATGAAAATCTTAGAAAACAATTCTTATTAAAACTTGAAACTAAAAATCGTTTGCAGGACTGTCAGGCAGAGAATGGGTACTCACATTTCCTTTAACCACATAATTAGAATCATTCTTGATGTCTCTGGCTAGACCAAAATCACAAATCTTTGTGATTCGACCATGAGTAAGGAGGATATTTCTGGCTGCCAAGTCTCTGTGAATACACTAATAGTTTGGGGGAAAAAAGAAAAAAAAAACATTAAAATTCATTTTAACTTTCAAAGAGTGAAAACTATTTTTGATATTAGAATGCTACTTACATTATAAAACATCCAAAACTTTTGTTTTAAAGTATTTAGTGCACCAAAAATAAAAATCAAAATTATGCCTTGAATGTTCATATTTTTGGTTCACATTATCAGCATCCTAATTACTATAATCACTTTCAAAACTAATTCTAATAAATGTCCCCCCAGTACTGCTTTCATTCATAGGAAAATATATAATAGTCAAGCTGTATCAATTTTAAACTGAAAATTTTGCATGCACCACTTTTAATGTCCTTTCAGTGGACCTCCTAAAATATCTTGGCAAGTTCAATTTGAAACCCCCCAAAGATGTAAGGAACAGAGTCTTTATTTCAGCTCTCCTATATACTCTTTTTAGTTTGGTAATTGTTTGGAAATGTCACCAGTGATTAGGGGCTGTGACCTTGTTCTCTTTGGTCATTCTTATTTCTTATAGAATTCTTCTCACCCTTCCAGATCTATGTTCCTTGTTTTGGTCCCATCATTCTCTTCCCATTCCCATCCTTTCCAAATTTACTATTCTCTCTGATTTCCTATTTTCTGATACTTCATAAGCTATGCATAGAATATTTCAGGTCTAATTTCAATGAAACCTAACATATATGCTTCACCAAGCATAGCAACTATGAGGTACACCCCTGCTTTTGCTGATATAATATTATCCTACTGTTTTCAAGGAGCCTATCCTATATCCTAAAGCCAAAGGTTTTAAATGAATTCACTGCATATAAAAGAATATTCATGGAAAACTCATTTAGACAGGTTTGCACTTTAAAGCTTATGAATTAGAACAGGAATTCCAAAGAGACAGCAGTTGGAACATGAAGAAACTAAATTTCCTCTGCATTTGGTTACCACACTTCAAAATGACACTCTGCATTCTAACTAGGGCTCTAAAATGCTCTCTTCTCAAAAGAAAAAAAAAAAAAAAAAAGACTGACTCTTCCCAGATCATTCCCACTTACGTTCTTTGAGGCGAGGAAAGCCATGCCCTTTGCCACCTGGTAAGAAAAGCTCAGCAAATCTTCCAGGTCAAGGGCCAGTTCATCATCCTCCATGATGGCGGGGGTCACTTCTCTTTCTATATATGAGCCTGTTAGGAAGACAGAGATTTTCTTAGCAATTACAGCTTCAAGGGTTGGGAATAGATAGTGGCAATGACAATACCAAAGGTTGACCATCAGTGAGCAGATGTGAACTTGCAGGCAAATCACCTCCCCAGTATTGAGGAAAGGTAGATAGTGAAATACAAAGACAATATTCAACAACCTTGGACTGGGTTACAAAATCCTTAGGACACGGGTTGGTGACTTAATTTTTTAAATGCTGTGTGTGTGTATATATATATACATAGGTACCCACCTATTCTTGCAGATCTCCTTTTGTCTGCTTTGGTTGGGACAACATAAGAAACTCCAGGCTTCATGTCCATGTACTCATTACTACTGTCATTGCTAGGAGAGACAAAGTACCCATCAGGTCATGTCTGAAAAGAGTGGGGAGGTGGGCTGGGGGAGCACGAGAGGACAGGATTCATCTCCTCATCCATTTTGTTAATTATGGGCTGCTTTTACTGGAGGAAAGCAATACTTGGAGAGTAAAAATCATGTTCTATAAGACGTCAGCTTTTTAATATTCAATACAAGGGTGCAATCCCCAGGAATTAGATGTCATTTTGTGGGGACATGGGTTAGAAGTGTTCCATCTCTAGACCTGGTGGATTTAACAGGAAACAGAGAGCCAAAAACATGATCTCATAGTAACTTCAAAACTTTCTAAATTAGCGCCCCCACTCCCCCCACCCAAGATTCAAGATGAAGAACAAGAGCTTTGGAGTCGTGTTAGTGGGGAGATGGTTAACATATAGTGACTGATAGGAGAAGGTTTAAAAAAACCAAGTTTGGTTCAGATAAACACCAATAATTTGGATGATTTTCTGAACCATCTGGACCTCTTGAATCTGCAACATTTGGCTGGAGAGTCTTCAAGATTTCTAGTACTTCCTGCTTCTGATTAGCATAGAAACACCATGACAACAACCTCCTTCAGAGTGTGCTGGTGGCTCCAAACCCATATGGGATCCCAAAGCACAAAGAACATCACATAGGACTGCACAATTCAGGCCATTGTTCCAGAAAGTTAAAAAATACATACAGGACCAAGCTTTTAGAAATAAGACAAAGTGGCTCGTGTCTTCACATAAAGAATGCATGCTCAGGAGAAACTAGAAAGGTAGTTTTACAGTATTTTCCTACCACTTTACTCAAGTTTTTAGGACTGAAAACATAAAAAATAAAAAAATTCCCCCTTTTAAGCTTTAGCCAGAGGCATAAAAAAATGGCTTTAAAGGATAACTGCTTATCAATAATATTGACCAAGGCCTGGTACGAGTTCACGAGGCAGTCTTATCATTTCAAAACGTAAGAGATAAAAAATTTATTTTCTCTGGGATGGAGCCCAGGGCCTCTCAGATGCTGAGGATACACTCTGCAACTGAGTTCTACCCCTAGACTCTGGAGGAAAATTTAAAAGGAGAGGGGAAATCCGCACATTACTGCAGCAATACAAGGAAAGGGACTGGGTGTGACTAGGATTGTCACTGAGCCTGGAGAATTCAGAGGTCTTGAAGGGTGATTTTTCAGAAAGGAAGGACAGGCAAGTGAAGGCTGTGTGCGTGTCTACGCTGGCTGTCAACAGAACCTAAAGTTCTTGACACACTATTCAGCTTCAGAATGGTGCTGCGGCTGAAAGGGAAGAGAATTAGGTCCAGAACTTCTGTAAATGTGCTAAAGCAGTTATGCTTCTTAGAGCGCGATGAATTCAATGGGGAAATCGGTCAGACAGGGGTGATTCAGTGGCTGATGGCAAAAAAAACCTTCACGTAGAGATGCATTCAGTGCTCTTTACCATTCTGTTAGAAGTTTTAAAGGACTTTACCGTGACAACTTGACAGTTTCTAGCATTTTCCTATAAACAGTCTCACTGTAAAGCCATACTGTGGTACTAAGCTCAAGAGTACAAATGGAAACACACAGGCAAGGACAGAACCATGATAAAAGAAATAGGTACAGAATCCATTCAGTCAGAGAAAATTTAGGCTTAGGAATAAAATCTAAACATGCACTTAAAAAAAAAAAAAAGAATCAGCAAAAACCTAAGTTCACCATGATTTGAATCCTCAGAAACACTATTTGAACTTCCTAAACAGTTAATCACATTTAAATAATTTAATAATTCTGATTTCACACTTCAGAGTACCTGGTTCGTTTTTTAAAGAATCAGCCTTGATTGCAAACCCTTATGACCCCACAAACTGCCTGTCAACAGCTGACTATTTATGCAAATCAGTCTTACCAGGAAGACTCCTTTGAATGCAGAAGATTCTTATAAAGTGCTGCGTCTACCTGATCTTCCTGCTTGGAACAAATAAATGAATCACGTTTTCTTCTCAAAAAATTCAAAAGATCACCATAGCAACAATATTCTGTAATGACCAGGGTCGGTCCTACAAAGACATAAGAAAAGGTTAGAAACAGGTAAAATCTCTCTTAGATAATTCTGCCTCCTGTGAGCATCGCCATAGCCATTAACACCCACCTTCCATGGCTGAGCCACTTAGTCCCAATAAAATTCTATCTATTAACATCACTTATCAGAAAAGTGACACACGTGGAGTAAAATAAAACAAGAAAACACCTATCTACTGAATTTCTAAGTGACATGAGCATCAGGAGCCAAGCAGGACTGCTGCTTTTGCAGATAGCAGAACCTTTGAAAGCAGTAACTTCCATCATCAAGATTCCTACGTGAAGCCTTTGATTCATTTCTGTTTACAGCAGGGCTTCCCTTACTCTCAGTAACGTTATTATGGAAATGAAGAGCCCAAACTGCAACACAGTAGGAAAATCAATCACTAGGAACAGCTAGCTGAGACCAGATTGGAAAGTGGGCAAAAACCTGAAATGACCCGTGTTCTGCGCACGACTAGTTAAGATAGAGTTTTGGTGTTATAGTTGCTTGAAACCACAGTTCTGAAGTTCATAGGCAACTAAAATTACCTTGGGTGGAAATTGTCTCATGAACAAGTCAAGATGCAGAGAAGCACCACTTGGGGACTGTTTTAAGACAGTAGCAAAAGCTATCAACCTTCTTGTGGATCTGTCCCAAAGAGGACATCTCATCCCACACTTCTGTATTCCTTTAGACCAAAGTGCCTTCTGCAAACATCATAGAAATCTCAGAGGAACTTCAACGTAGGCTTCAGATTGGAAATTTTATTTTTAAAGAAGTGACAAGCTTGCTTCATTTTGGTATATATTTGAGAACTGGGAAGCTCAGGGGTCCATTTTAAATTATGGTATGCAAGTGAACATAAACCCTTCATTGACTAATAAGCATGATGCAACAATATATAAAGCTGGCAAACAAGAAAAGTCTTCTGGTCAGAATGAGATACCAAAGGGTCATTATCAATGTAACATACTTGACGATAACTGGCATAATGTCTAGGGCTGCTGTTCTTCAGGATGATAAAAGTAAAATCTTTTTTAAATTCTCATTTATTTATCAATTTAGATATTCATTTATTCTTATGATATAAATTCCCCAATATTTCTTTTTTTCTACTTACATATGATATTTGGTACTTTCATGGAGTATAATTTGATACATGTATACAATATGTAGGAATCAGATTAGGTAATAATAAACCAGACACAGGAAAATAAATACTGCATGTTCGCACTCATTTGTGCAAGATAAAAATGTTGATCATATAGAAACAGAGAGGAGGACAGAGGCTACTAGGGGCTGGAAGGGGGAGGTAAAGAACAGAAAATGGGAATCAAATGCAGATGGAGGGAGAAGTAGCTCTAATAGTCAATAGTATAGTGGGACAACTATAGTCTATAGAGGAATAATACATGTTAAAATAACTAGGTAGAGTCTGAAGGTTCCCAACCATAAAAATAATAAAATCCACATTGTAAGAACAACAAGGAAAACAAAATTTAGCAAGAGAAAATAAAAATAGGGGTAAAAATCCTGCAAACAGTTTATAATTAAACATCATCAAAGTCATATGAAAATGTCTCTCACTTGATAATGTGACAATAAAAGGCAACTGGGCCTGGGCTCACCTCCAATGGTACAGGCTCCGAGGAGGTTGACAATGTTCATGTGATTGCCGAGGTAGCTCAGGACCTTCAGCTCCGACATGAGGGCTTCTCGCTCCGTTAAGTGGGCGCTCGCTAGAACCGGAAACAGCTCACTTCAGTAAACGACAAATTTGCCAAACTGGCATTGGGCGCGTGCAGTACCCTGCAAGGAACTTACGTTTGAGCATCTTCACAGCCACGGTCATGGCCGCATCCGACTTAATTAGGCCATAGGCAGTGGCCTCCACCACCTTCCCGAAGGCGCCAGCACCCAAGGTCTTCCCTTTAGAGAGGAAGACAACGAGGTGAGCAAGGACAAGAGGACTAAAGAGCCAGCTGCAAATTTGCAAAATCAACAAAGGAATTCAAAAACGAGTGTGCCTACATATGGTTCCCTTCAGAGTTCTCTGTGCCACACCGACTTAGTTTCTGTCAAATGTCACCGAAACACTTCTGGTTTCAGGTGGAATAAAAAACAAAGGAAGCCATTGAGTTCCCTAAACTAACTGTTACATGTATACAACAGGCTGCATGGAAAGCCCCTGCTTCATACTGACCAAAACTCAGCCTGTTTCTGGGAAACTCCCATTTGTGATCATAAGGAAGTTGTGTTGGGTCTATGTACACATAATTGTTTCCATTTATCTCCTCGACAACCTTCCACTGTACTTCATACATAGGTTTCTGTGGGGAGAAAAGAAAAGACATAATCACCTTTTAATGATCAATGCCTCAGTTATTATAGCACTCAGAGGAGAGAACAAATCAATGGTTACCTGTAAATATTTGTAGGTCAGAATCATCACAATGATGCACATCATACCAGCTGTGATCACGAAACCAATCAGCAAGGGCGTGAACAACGTGTGGGGATGGGTTTGCTCTAAGATGGAAGAGAAATGGGTATCACAAACTATCAGCTAGACATGGGCTCTGCACCTTCCCAAACTGACCCACCTCCGTCTTGCAGCCCATGCATGGGACACAGCCATGAGTTTCAGATCCTCAGCCTAGCTATAGCTGACTCTCAGTATTCAAATGAATCGATAAAACTACAAGTTAAGCCAGATCACTAAGAGGTTGAGATTTCTGTATCACATGAATAATTGTATGCTGTTTTTACCACGAAAAGCAACATCTGAGTGGACTTTGTACTTCAAATTCCTGCCTTGGATCACTTTAAAATGAAATTTCCTTTATAGGTAGCTTATTATTTTCAACTTTTTGTTTTCTTGTGTTCTCCGAGTTTTCTAAACTGTGCATAAATGTATTTTATGACCAAGAAAAAATGTTCTACAAACTATCCCTTTTTATTTCTCTGAAAAATCAATAATAGAGAACAATGGAAGTTTCCTTCCTTCATTACTCAAAAAACTGAGGAAACAGAACATTTTGGCACTAGTCTTTCCCAAATCAAAAAATAAAAAAACTCAAAAAAATCCTAGGTTTCCAGTTTGTCTTCTTCTAACTTTATACGAATCCATCAATTTGTCTTTAAGAATCATTTAATTTATGTTAGAAGAGCTGGTCATTATGAGGCAATTTTAAAGAAATGGCTGGCTCACATGGTTACACAAAGGAATGAGTTACTTTATGACATAGTGTCTGGCAAAGTATTGACTTATTTTAAAAGACTGAAATTTTAAATCGAATTTAAAATTTAAATTGCTTGAATGATGTCTGCGCATAAATATATTCCCCAATTTACTTTCTACCCCCTTCTAATGGAGACAATTACAAAATATTGTATTAGTAAGAAAAAGACAACTGTTCACACGCATGAGCGTGTACACATGCACACACATAAAACATACAATAATGTGGTTAAAATTACTCTAGTAAAAGCATAACTTTATTGACAAGCTACTATGGAATAAAATTTGGCGAGTTTGATGACAATATGGTGTGATGCAGGCATTATCAGAATTGACATGGTCAATGTTGGAATGGACTTAAAATCATGATTGATATGGTAGACCGAGCCTAAATATCCCCTTAAATTGGATTAAAAAGAAATATACCTTTGTTGTTACCTTTAAATGCAAAGTTAAAATAGGCAGAACTCTTGCCCACATCGTTGTGAGCCTTACACTCCACTGTGCCATTGTGCCGGAACATACTAGAATCTATAGAGCTCTGAACCACGAGTTTTCCGAACGGTGGCACAGATGAGTTTTGAATCTGCACATCCACAGCCTGTACAGGAACGGAACATCTAGAGACAAGAAAACAGCACAGGCTCACACTGGGAGAACAAACGGACACGTCCAATTCATTGCATTTGCTTTACGCTTGTAACAAAGGGATTCATGATCAATAAAACTCCCTTGCAGAGTATTTAGAGTCTGATGAGGGATCGAGCACTTTTGTGGTCCAGGTAGGAACCAGAGAAGGAAAGGTACTGTAGAAGAGAAGAAAGACGAAGAGATTTTGGAGTTCAATGTGGGTTAAAATCCTGCCTTAAACACACCTATTCTGCTGACTTCTCACAGGCGATATAAATTCTCCAGGACTTAGTTTCTAGAGTGATAACACCCATGCTGGAGGATTACTAAAAGGTTAGAAATGAATTATAGCAACTGCCACAGATCCTGGCATACAAGAGATCCTTAAAACAAATATTCAACACATACTAAAAGGGTGTGGCTTTATTAAAATATGAGTGGCTGAAAGGAGAGGCATAAAAGAGGAAAGCAGGAAAAATCTAGAAGGGCAAGGACAGAGAAGCCCTCAGAACTGCAGAAGCAAGGACCTGAGGTCAGGGTTCTGGGTGGGCAGGTACCGCCCACCTCTGGTGCTGCTCCACCACACTGGGAGGGAGGCTGTTCACGGCCAGACCCTGGCTGCACTACCCTGACTCCATTTCCTGTTCCTCTCTGAACACCTACCTGTGTTAGGTGTTATCTTGTCCACTATCTCTCTCCACCCACTACCGTATGGCCTCATAAACAAGGGACCCAGTATGTTCTGTGCACTAGACCAGCACCACCTGTCACTGTTGTCCCTCTGTAAATATTTGCTGAATTGAAGACTGCAACAACCAGAGCCGTTTTCCACTGTGGGCATGCTGTCCAGGGCTCTTGCACCCCTCTTATTACTACCCCAAAGAAAACATTCCACTAAAGCTCATCCCTAAATGATCAGCCTGCGAAACCTCCGCTGATGTGTTGTCATAAAGAGGTCTATTTTGGGAAAAATAAAATTTCCACTTGCATCCTAACTATTCAGTTGTGATGTTAAACCGGGCTTTTAAAGCCAGAGCATAAAATAGCATTTGAAGGATAAAAAAGCAATGTTGACCCCATTTTCGCCTTCAGGTAATGTGAAGGGACAATTTAAGACTTAAGCGTGGACTTGGAGGGAGAAGCAGAATATTGCCAGATGTTCCCTGTTCAGGGGCTGGGCACCTAATCAAGGAGAAAACCTTTATAAAAAACCCGTCGCTTACAAATGCCATATGTATGTTGTAACTGCGCGATCATTACTTTTTGGTAACTTGGCAATTAACTTCTGAGGTAATTTTTTTCATGATAACTACAGCCACATTTCCCACACACATTACCTCCTGTGTATAGAATGGAAATCTAATTACTCTGTCCTGGAAAATTGCTTTATCTACCTGCAGGCTAGAAATTGCATGATAAATCCAAAAAGATAACCACCAAAATAGAGAAGTCATTCAGTAATCATTTTTCAGCCAACAAAATTAATGTCTACAAGGAAAAATATAGCCATTATCCCCTCTAAACAGCCACATGGATAGGAAAAAAAAAAAAAAACAATCAAAACAAAGCATTTTTTTCTTTAAAAAAAAAAATCTGAACCCACATTTGATATTCAACTGGATTGTAGTCCTTCCCTTCTGCATTTTAAGTAGTGCCAAAAATAATCATCTCACCTCTGCTCCGTTCCTGTACAAAAATACCAATCTATTGTGGGCTCTGGGAATCCTGCTGCCACACACTGGAGCATGCCATTTGTGAGCCTGTCATAAGTCAGGATTTCTGGTTTTGCTGTAGGAAAAGAGAAGTGGCCATATGTCAGACGGCTGAAAAACCCCAGCAAGAATTGCCCCACTCCTCCCAATCCTTCAACCCTTTGAGGGTGTGAGGGGGTTCTGGGGAGCTCGGGGGAACAAATTCAAAGGCAGAATCTGAAACAGTGAGTGGGAGACACAGAGAAGTGGACAGGAGAGTCCAGCCATGACAATTACTGCTGCCCACACCCCATGAAGACCATCCCCACCCGCCCTGGAGATGTGACGGTCTCTGCAAAAGAGTTCGCTTGACCACCAGGCACGTTTCTGCTTCCAGCCAGGGACAATCTGAAAAATGGCTCTGGGAAGTGCTCTCGAGTCCCAACTGTTCTAAATGTACAAATCAAAGGATTCCTGACAGTGGGATTCAATGATGGTATCTGCCATAGGATTTCAGGTTATCACGGCAAGTGGAAGTCAGATGACATTAGGAACTGTTAACAGATACAGGATAGGGGGCCAGAAGGGTGGTGCTGATGAAGAGCTGAATCATCCTATTTATAGGGAAGCAAAAACATAAAAAGACAAAATGTGCTTTTAACTCCAAATCTTTATTTCCAATGCAAAATACAGACAGAAAATTAGAAGAGAAAGCCAGCCCAAGAATTTTATTCGTACACGTACCTAGAGTCTGGATATAATCAGCAAAAACATAAATTGTATCAGCGGGAAGGCTCTAATTTGACACTTCTATGTAACTACAATAATCAATGGATATTCAACAATTTCAAATTCTTGAAATCATTTCTGAAGTGAAAGGAAGATGAACTTATGTTCATTTGTTCTAAAGGCAATAAGCTTGAAGGCACCTAATGCTTTGAGAACAAGACCCTAAACTGTTCATCTTGAGGACATGGTCAGTGCCCACCCATACCCTTAAAGGGATAGCAAGGAATAGGCCACATCTGAACACAGAACCATGAAGGCCAAGTGTGTGGTGGGCAATCTGAGCGCCAGCTCCCACTATTACCATTAATGGGGCTCTGCCCCTTTAAAGTTTCAGAATGTCCCTCCTAATTTCTGTTTCCTCATGTGTAACACGGGAATAATAGTGGTACCCACTTCATAGGGATGTTGAGACAAGACAGATGAGACTATGCGCACAAAGAATGACTCACAGAAAAGAAACAATGCATTTATTATTAATCATTATTACTGATTCATCCTTTTCTAATTAAAGTACCTCCCCTCCTTGGCTAATCAAGTTTTCTACAGATTAAGTTAACTGTGTCTGCCACTCTTAATACTCCCTTCAATGATCTGAAAATTGCTTCTTTAAGACAGTGAGATAATGTGCATGTGTTTTAACTGGGTGTATTGGGAATTCAATATTAATTATATTGCAACTTATAAGAGCAATAAATGGTGAGGAGACTGACTGATCAGAAGCCTAGGAAGCCTATCTCTCCAAAAGAAGGTAATACTGATAAAAGACCTCTTTGTAGAACAACCTCTCAGTAGCTCACCTCCTTGGAGGCAAAATGAGTTGGCAAGGATTGGAGTGTCCACATGCATGACACACCCACCTGTCACTCAGCCTGGCCCTGCTGATGGGCAGGCCATTTGGCAAATTTCACACAAAAGAACTACTCTCCAAAGCGATCTCAAGGTAGGAGCATCCTTGAGAGCTTGGATCCAGTGCCAGCTTTCACAAATAGAGCAAGAAGACGAGCCATCATCTTGCAAAAGCATCCATCTGGCAAGTTTCATTTAATTATCATGGGCAACTGTGTGATCAGGCTGAAAAGTAGGACATAACACAAAAAAACCAGTGGACTCTTAGGAGAATGCTACTTTGCTAAAGACTGGAGGCACCATACGGTGGGGTCCCTCTGTGGACTCAAATCGATTTAAGTGTCACCTCCTTTTTGAAGCAACCTCCAACTCTCCAAAACCAAGATGGTCTCTCTCCCTGTTTCTGCATCTGACACTTGCACAAAATCTCAGTCCTCCTCCTCCATCAGCTTCCCATATTCTCAGAAGCAGAAACCACATCTTATTCTTTACACCTCTGACTCCTGGCCCAGGGTCTGACCTCACAGACATATAGTAAGGTTAATCACTGGATCCCACCCAAAGGAACAAGTCTTTAAGGTTCCAAAGGCATTCAATTAGAGTGACAAGAAGGGACCTGGAAGAAGAGCCAAATGGTGACTTTTCTGGGTCAGGAAGTTATTTCTACTATTCTTATAACAAACAGACTGCTATAACATAAGAAATCCTCATATATGCCTAGCCATATGATTTTTTTTTAAATACTGAGATTAATGATGTGTAGGTCACACATTGATGACAGAGATAATGAATAGGACTCAAATGGGAATCAAGTTCATAAAACAGATCTATTTACACCTGCATTCATTTTGTCAGTTGTCCCACCCAATGCCCACTATGCCACATGAAGGACTTTTAGTGGAATTAAATATTAACACAATAGGGGAAAAAAAAGGAAGCTTTATAAGGCTGAAAAAATACCTTAAGATGTTGACAATGATCATCTCTGGGTAGCAGAACATGGATAGTTCTTTTGACTTATTTTCTAATTTTATTCTATAGTGAACATGTAGCCAAAAATGAACCTATAAAACATTTTTTAATTAAAAAATTGGAACAGCTCAAAATTACATAATCAATTACATTGAGCCTTGGTGACAAGTGCTCTAAGATCCAAGCCTCCTAGCATGACACCTGGTAGCAGTTATACAAGGGCCATGGCAGGCAATTGTGCGGTCTGGCTGGCCTACTTGCTCCTGATGCTGGTTAATTAGGTGGTTTTTTAAAGCTCTTATCCAGGTGGATCATGACTTGAGGCTAGATGAGCAGCTTTTGTCCTGTTGGGCCTCAGACTGTGCTAAATCTTCAATGTGCATTAGACTTACTAAGGGAGGTTAATGCAGATTCTTGGGCCCACCTCCAGAGCTTCAGTAATCAAGGACTCTGATCCAGCAATGGGCTTTTTAAAAGCATCTTCAAGAAACCTTGACCAGGGCCAGGCAAGAGGAGCAACCAGGTGTGGAATTGAGAAGGCACAGATCCCAAAGGTCTCTTAAGTTGGCAACTGCCATTGAGTGGCTCCTTAAATTTTACACCTCTCACCTTACCCCAGCCCCAGCCCTGTCCTGAGTGCTGGTGGTGTGACATCTCATTCTGAAAAGGCTTAATTATAAACTAGTCCAGTATGGGCTATAAATGGCAGGTTGCATTAGGAAAATGTCTAATTCATAAAGAATGAGCAAGGGTGAAATTTGATTCCTTAAAAATGAAAATCTGGGCTCATCTACATTTGTAAGTGCCTCAATGCACCGTGTAAGGCATTAAATATACATTTTGCTGTTAAAGATACATAACTCTGCAATTTTCCAGGTTAAATCCGAGCTGTGGTTTCTTAGCTATTCTGCAATAAGCAGTGTACCAAATGACACATTCCCTAATTCCTCCCAAGTTGGAGGTTCAGATAAGCCTAAGAGGTGCATAAGTTATGTATTTCCAGTGGAGATTTAAAAAAAAGAGTCTTTCTCCTTTCCAGAGCATGGTAGACTTGGGTCATGCTGGTATCTTCAACAACAGTGATCAGTTTGTAGGAAGTCAACTATGAAGAATTCATTGCTCGTGCAATTAAAAATCCTCAACATTCACTGGTTTACTCCACGGATTTTGTAATCTTGAAAAATATTCCCTTTTCCTACCATCAGGTCCATGTGGAAGGCAAGAAGGAAATGAATTTTAAGAACAGAGCACAGATACCAAGAGCTGGCAGTTGCGGGCTAGGCACAGATATGCACCCTGGGAAGTGGAGGGGGAGGTCCTTCTTTCATTCATCTCTGTGTGGAGAAGCACTCTGAGTACAGCTCTTCTCTTGTCCAGTTCCACCTTACCCATCTCCTACTGTCCATGCACATTTGCTCACGCTATGTCATCAGCAGGACAAAGAACACAGGCTCAAGTCTCCAAATAATAAAAAGACTAAATGAAGAGCGATCCAAAGGATGAATTTCCGCTTCTACAATTCTAGGGCTGCTGGTGTTTAATGGCAACGAGGCAGTGCTTTTCAGAAATCTGTCACTACCCTGGTTTTGGTCTGGGTGAAACCTACATTCCTGCCACAACACTGTTATAACAGAGGAATTTAAATCAGCTAAACTAGGAGGACAAAAATAACTCAAGCTAACTTTTTTACATACTAAAGGAAATATTAAACTTTTTAGAAAAATCTCCAGAATAGCTTGCATTTCACACATTTCTAAGAATATCCAGAAATTGGTACGTGAGTACTTCAATAACAAACAAAACAAAAATTCAACTGTGGTCTCCTGTACCCAGCTATTTTTGAGAGAGCGACTCTTGGAGGATTGCAAGCTCAAAGTCAGTCTTGGCAAATTAGCCAGGGCTAAGCAACTTAGCAAGACCCTGTGTCATAATAAAAATTTTAAATGGGCTGGGGATATGGCTCAATGGTTAAGTGCCCCTGGGTTCAATCTCTGGTACCCCTGCCCTCAAAAAGAAAAAAGAGGAAGAAGAAGAAAAGAAATGAAGCAGTCATCTCAAATAAGAGTTAACAAACTTCCACCGTAAAGGGTGAGATGAGCGTTCAGGTCAGGTGTCTCTTGCATCAACTCAGCCCTGTGGCTGGAATACAAGAGTTGCCACAGACACTGCCTGAACAAACAGGCAGGGCTGTGCCCAGTGAAACTTTACTATGGACCCTGAAATATGAATTTTATTCAGGTCTCATGAAAGTTTCTGATTTTTTTTCCCCATTTAAAAAAAAAAATTGCCGGACATGGTGGCCTATGCCTGTAATCCCAGTGGCTAGGGAGGCTGAGGCAGGAGGATCGCAAGTTCAAAGCCAGCCTCAGCAAAAGTGAGGCACTAAGCAACTCAATGAGACCCTGTCTCTAAATAAAATACGAAATAGGGCTGGGGATGTGGCTCAGTGGGCTGAGTGCCCCTGAGTTCAGTCCCCAGCAACCAACCCCC